CCCAGCCAGCAAAGCTGGCTGGGGAATTCTGGGAGTTGAAGTCCTCCAGGCTTAAAGTTGCCAAGGTTGGAGACCCCTGCTTTAGTATATCAGTATTACTCAGTATTTATACATACATATGTGTGTGTGTGTGTATTACTATTGTGATACTGCTATTGTATAATAGTAATACTGAATAGTAAATATTAATATTTATTACTCAGTATTAATATTACAAATTATACATATGTGTGTGTATTAATTTAATATGTGTTAATTATATATATACACACACACTGAGAAATAAAATCAATAATATATATTCATATATAGTATATTAATATTAATGTTCCTATTCTGGATAGGGGGACCTGCTTGTTTCGACAGTTTTAGCATTGACAGCTAGAATAGTCCCCCCTCCCCGCAGCACAATGATGAACCCCTCAAAAGAGTTGGTTTCTTTTAGGTTGCTGACGCAAGCAAGTCATCTCTGCCGTAGAGCCATCTAGTCTCTAAAGAGAGAGAAAACCCTACTGCTTTGTCTGGTAGTCCTTCTGGCTTTTAACTTTGCCCATCATGCTGCTCAGAGTCACTTTTTGTGATGTGAGCAGCTGTACCGAATTAATAAATGAAATAACAAAGAGCAAGCAGTTTACAGAAAGTTAATGATGGCGTTCTAGCTGCTCTCTATAAAGATAGGATTAGATTCAAAAAAGATATTAAGAAAATAGGTAAATAGAAATTCCATGGCCTTGACCGGCATAGGAATCCAGCCTAGAGCCTTCTAATACCAGTAGCAATTACAAAATTTTGCTTCATATTGACATATAGACTTCAGTGAGGAAGTCAATACATAAGCAACAGATAATTTCAGAGTTAAGTTGAACCACTTAGCTCAGTGATGGCTAACCTTTTCAGCTTGGTGTGTCGAAAATCGGGAAAAAGTGTAGCCTTCTTCGGGTCGTGTGTCACTTCAAGAAATATCAATAATTTGGTTTATGACGGACTGGGCTGGGGTGATCACACAGGGCTGTGAAACTCGTCTCCCTGGTCTCAGGGCTGCAGGTGCAGGATGTGGGGATCGGAAGGCCACCTTACAGGGCTGTGAACCTCATGGATCTCCTTTCTTCCTGTAGCGTTCCTGAGGTAATAAAACTGACAAACCTCAGTTTATGGCAGTTAAAACTGGTTCTCTGCTGCAAAGATCTTGCGGCAGCGGTGACACCACGCCTCCACGCAACAAGCAGGGAGCAGGGATTGGAGCAGAGCACAGGCAGCCTCTAAATGTGCAGGTTTTCACCACACCAACAGGCGTGTCAGTCAAAGTGCCTCGGCGTATCACGAGTGACACACGTGTCATAGGTTAGCCATCACTGACTTAGCTTGTCATTTAATCTCCTGGTTCTGGTTCTGCCCTCTGGCTTTAAACAATAGAGCCATTCCTGTCCCTTAGATATTGGAAGATTACTATGATACTCACCAGTCAACTTTTTTGAAAGCTAAACATATAGGGTCCTTTAGCTTTTCCTCATATGTCCTGGTTTCTAGATCCCTGACCATCTTGATAGCCCTTCTCTGAATTCATTCCATCTCAGCCTTCAACACAATCCTCCAAATAGGGGGAAATTACGCCCCCCCCCCATTAAGCTTCTGCCAGCAAAACTGGTTTGCTAAGCTCTGTCAGATGGAAAGACAAATTCCAAAAGTATGTACACATTCTCACAATAAGCAGTGAAATGATACAATTCTAATTTGTACTTTCTATCTTGGATCCAATAGATTTCACTTGAATAAAAAACGTTAAAGGTGTATTTAGGTTGGCACCATTGAGGTTTGGCAAACACAAATAAGGAGTTCAATTCATATTTATTTATTCCATCAGTGCTCCTCCTTTCTTTTCAAATATGATATACAATTGACAATAACTAATATATAGTGAGTTTGAATAATAAATTAAAATTAATGTTGGAATTCATTAACATGATAAAAGCTTGACAAAAAAAGCTCTTCTAAAGGCAGAGAGAAATAGTGGCTAATGCAACTCCTCAGGGAGTGAATTCCAAAACTTGGAAGTGACTACTTCTAAGATTCTAAATAATTGATAGAAGGGCATCACCTGCGCATAATAATGGTGAAATTGGATCATATCTGTGTGAACAGGAAAATTTTAAAATGGCAAATATACTTCAGAATACCTATTAGGAACATTTATATCTCTTGTTTTTATTTGCCCCTTTTCCCAAGAAATTCAAAGAAGTGCACTGGTATCTCGCTTTCTTGCATATTTTAGAATACCATGGGATAGATTATAGTAGAATTACACTAACAAGTTCATTGGTCCAAAGTTCATCCAAGGGAATGTCATGCTGAAATTTCAAAACTATTAGGAATAGGTTACATTGCTGTTATCTAGTAGCATGGCCATAGGTTGCATATGTTTAATCCTTAGTTAACCATCAGGTTAAATTCTTATCCCAACTCACCGCATAGGGTCGGTGTGGGGAAAATAAGAGGAAGCAGTATTAGATATGTTCTCCACCTTGAGTTATTTATAAAAATAATCAAAGCACGATATTACTTAATTGAATAAATAATATGCTTAGATTTTAGCTTAATGTGTTATGTAAACTGGTAAATTGTAGTTATTCAACAAAGTAAGATAACAATATTCCAAAGTGTTTCTAGTACATGGTTACAATGTAATAAAAAGTGAAGTTTCTTGTAATAATTCATTATGAAATTTACATGCCACTCATCTTGCTATGGGGCAAGTGCCAGGATTCCAGGAATTACTCCAATTAAATAATGAGCCTCGAGCCACACTCCCAAAACTAAAAAGGATTTATTAGAAGTTAACATTCTATGTCCGGCATTTGCCTGGGCGTAGCCGACTCTGAGATTCGTAATTCACTGTCACCCTTGATCCTGCTTCCCCACCCCACCCCTCTGGGTGTACCATCCAACGAAACACATCCATAGCCAAGAGATCATGCTCTCCAATTAGATTTTTGCACAGCAGAAGCTTCAGCTACCTAATCAGTCTCTGAAGAAAATATGAATGGAATGTACTTTCGATTCCACACTGCTGCCTGCTCTTTGAAACTCCCCCCCTTCTTTCTGTTGTCAACTATAAACGTGTATACAAAATGTTTTATGAGTTGACAGCAAGTCTAGATGGCTTATAACAAGAAAAGAATAAAACATTAAGATATCACAATAATAAATATTAGCATTAAAATTAACCTTAAAATTTACAGAGGTGGTGAGAAAGGAAGCAAGGGACACATGGGATAGAGGTAGAATCTTCTTTGAGTCCATTAATCATTTTTGGTATGACACGACATGTCCCATCGGGATCCCAGGCCAATTGGCAGAGTCAGATCTTCAGGCCCTCTTCGAACGGCCAAAAGGATGGGTGTGGATAAGACAGGATATTTCTCTATCGTGCAGTAAAAAATATTCCACTCCTTTTCCATTTGGCAAATAGGACACAGGATGCATTTTCCCCCAAAAAAGTTTGGAAAAAGGAATACATACAACAAGCCAGAATCAAGCAATATTATATTTTGGGCTGATGCATAAACTGAGGCTTAAACATATGCAAATAGTGATCATGATGCTAGATATTCAATATTGTTACCTTTCTTTTTTTATAAAATCCCAATGTTTTAAAAAGCAACACAGTTTTCATTTTTTTACTTCAGAATATTTTGTATAAGTATTTGAGTTGCTCACAATATTATGGTTTGTGATTAGCTCATGCATTGCCACTTTTCACAAAATAATTAAACCCTTGAACGTAGAATTCATTCTAATAAGATTTTGGTATTGGGGGTTTCTAGGACAGGACATTCACAAAGCACTAATAAAAATTTTCTGGTTGTAAAATTTTCAATTTGTTCTATTCCCCTAGATAAGAGCAACCAGTTTCTTCCTTTTTTATCTCATCCATATGGGTATAAATGAATTCTGGTCCAATCTACTATATTCCTAGGCCTTGATAGTTAATGAAATTGATCAAGAAAAGGCCTGCCAGTTAAAGACTGGCTGGTGTCCTGCCAGTTAACAAGACTGGTCAAATACAGGTCAACCAGCTGAAGGAGTCTAGTAACCAAGGAAAACACTGAAATGTTTGCTCTCTTATGAAAATGGCACAAATGCATCTTGCTTATACAAGTACTTTTTCTCACCACAGAATTTGTAATAGGTAGAAAGTTGTCTTGCTTTTTTTAACACAGATAGTCCTTGACCTATATACTTGATTGATGTCACACTATCAGGTGTGCTACTCTCAGGATATAATAACAAAGTAAAAAAATGTTAAATGCTAAAAAGTGTTGCCTGGATTTTGTAAAAATC